AGCCGCGAGCTTCACCCCGCCCGTCGGCTGTGTTCAGCGATCTGCTGTTGAGGGGTTTCATTGCAGTGCACCCAGTGCGTGGGGTCGGTGCTGCTCGAGGGGTGACAAGGTGTGAGTATGTGCGCAGGCGTTCAGCTGCGTTAGCGGTGTCCGATCTCTGCTGAGGCTGCGGTCGCTGGCTCTGGCACACTGTGTTTCCAGTGGGAACGGCCGGAGGTGCTGAATCAGTTACCGATTCACAGAACACCAACATACGTTAACATATATACTGTCTCGTTATACAGCGTTAAAACAAAATGTCATCATTACTGCCATCATCCTTGTCTTCACTGGTACACAGCTGTACTGCTCCTTCATGGGACTCTGACCTTCCGGAAAAGTTCCTTCTTCCTCATGCTGCTGAGGCAAGTTCCTTCTGTTCCAGTTCAGCTTGACTGTTTTTTTCATTCTGTTTACTTGGTTAACAAAGTTTCCAAACGTATTTTGAAACATACTTCCTAGCTACAGATGAGAAGTAGGTGATATTTTAAAAAATGGATGAGAGTGCTGGACATAAAAATGGTGTACCGAAAACTATGGAAAAATCATTATTTGTTCTTTTCTGCTTACATAGCAGTCTGCTAGTTAGTAGAAATGAAACACTATGTTTAGTCTTCCAAGATGCTGTTTTCGCTGGAAGTAATTAAATTTGAGAACTTAGTTTTGGTTATATAGCCAAGAAAAAGCTATAGTCACCTGTACTGTGTTGCACATGTTGAGGTCTACCAGGAAATGTGAGCCTGTAATGAAACAAGACGCATAAATATGTATATATATAAAAAATAAAAAACATTAGATGATTGGCATGTAGTTATTTGCCTTATGGCAACAGTTGGAAGTGGAGCAACCTACATTCTGATTCTGTGAGGAAGTGATTTTTTTCATTGGGAACTTCACAAATTCTGTTACTCGTTTTCTCAGTTGTGCCAAGGAAATAAACTCTTGCTCTGACAAATCCTTTTGGTGGAGATGCATCTGGCACTGGCTGAAAGCAGGAGAAATGGGTCCTGGTAGGTGGGGAAAGCAAGACAAGGCACTTCTGAAAAACAGGGTAGTCGATGGAGCACTGAGCAGTAAACAGATAATGTGCTTGGCAAGGGCATCGGTCATGCTGGAGTGTGAGGATAGAGGCAGGAGAGAGATGTTTGGAGAGGGGGTGGAGGTGACAGCAAGTTCCTGGTGCTTGACAAGGAAGGGGGAGAATGAGATGTGCTGAGGTCCTGGGCACTGATGGTTGGTTCTGGACTTGCTGTGAATCAGAAGCATTGTGTTCCTGTGCAGCCCTGAAAGGTGAGGAGCTTTCCCAAACTGTCAAAAGAGGAAAGTCATTGCTGCTTCCAAATTGGAAGAACTCTGCTGTGAAAGATAATATTGGTGTCTAAGCAGGACTTGGCCTCCATCTTCACTATTACCTTTGCCTTGTAGATCAGGTATGTTCTGTGAGCTGTCAGTTTGAGGGTATATGCTGTGATATCACAGGCTTTTACCCTTGTTGGAAGTCATAAATGAGAGATTTGTTTGATCTTTAAAATTTCTCCTAAATGATTCTCCTGAAGAGCTGACTTATTTTATGTTGATATCCTTGAATTAGCAAGATAAGTGTCCTAACTGTGGGTGACATAATTATGAATGCTATTTCAGGGAAAAACCTATGTGCCAACGGGAGAAGCAGGAAAACTCTGTTCACTGATTCAGCTGTATAAAAACGATTATCACAGACCTACAAAAGCCATCCAAGATGGAAAATATTTTACTGATCTCAGCAAAGAATCTGACAGTCTAGAACACCGAGTAAGAAAACATTTAAGGCATAAACATAGAACCAATGCAAAGGTACATTTCTTACCCAAATCTTAAACTAACATTTAGTCTTATAATCTTATGCATCATTGTGAAGATTTTTTTTTGTTGTGTCCTGTGCACTAAGAAAGTTTCTGCAAAGTTGGAAGGAATTTGGTGGGGTGTTCGTTAAAACAGAAGGTGGATCACAATTAATTCCTGTTTAACAGTGTCATATGGAACTTGCACAGAAACCTGATGGAATGAAGAGTTTTGATTTCTTTTAAAATTAAATGTGATTTGTCATTGCTGACTTTCTTAGCTTTCTTTTGGAAGTCATAAGCCTAACCTTTTGTTCTTGCAAGCTAACAGAGATGGGTGTTTATTCTGAACTTTTTTTTTTTTAATTTTAAAGATAATCTTGATCTTCAGGTTTTCATAGACAATGCAAGTTGTCTTGCAGCATGAGGCTTTTTATTGATCATTAGAGAGAAAGTTCAGTTCATAGAGAAATAACTGTGGGGAAGACAATTTCCTGAGAATGGAAAGATAGTATGAGTAATTTAGGTTTCTGGTAATTTCTCAGTTTGGGAAGTCTTCTAAGCACTTTTGCTGATAAATTACTGTGGGGTCACAAAACACCATTCCTGTTTATATATTAATTATTTGCTGATAGCATCTCTGACTCAGTGTAGTCAGGAGAGGACAGGACTGCTACTGAATACAATGTTTGTAAGTTTGCAGTGCATGCAGAGTGGAAACCTGGAGGCAGAGTTCGGGTCCACGTACTGACTTTACAGAAAAACATGGGATCAAGATTGCAGAGTATTCTGATGAATTATATGCAGGCCAGGATAAGATGACTGTTTTGCAAGGAGTTGTAGTAAAACTTTTTGGTGCCAAAGTTTCCACCTTGAGGCAATGGGTTTATCCTCTCGCTAGTGAAGTTAAAATGTTCAGAATTTACAATTTGAAAGTCCCACAAGTCTATTTTTTTTAAATGGGAAGTTACTCTACCCCCAAAATTCGACATTTTAAAATTAGAACTTTAGTTGACAATATTACAGGCACATAAATTCTTTTGGATTTGCAGTAACAGTTAATGTAGGTTAATTTTTTGTGATTTCTCAGCCTATACTTTCTGGTTCAATCTTCAAATTCTCCTATCTTTCTGAAGTTCCTGAAAGGCTTTAATACTTAATCTTTAAAATATTATGAGTTGTACAAATGCTTTTACTATTTGACTATGCATTTAAGTAACACTTAAATATCTAGGTCCTTTTAGCTAAAATAAAGAAATTGGTTTATGGAGTGATGCTAGCTTGCTTTCCTCAGCTACAAAGCTCTATGCACAAAATAAATTGAATCTTTAGGGTTTAAGCCACCAACTCAAAGTAGCTTGTGAGTATGTGAACTTTTATAATTATATGTACCAAATTTGAAAATGTAGCAAATTATATGTACCAAATTCAAAACTATTGAAAGAATGCTCAATCAATTACAATCAGAAGTAATTTTTTACCGTTTCCTGCTTTTGTCTTGCAGTTAAACAGTAAAAACATTGACACTTTGATGCACAAGTTAAGTGAAAATGAAACCCAAAATACTGTAAGTGAATTAAGATTTCTGTCTCTTTTTATTCTATGCTGTACATCTGAAAATCGCGACATCATGGTATCATAAAATTTCAAGTGACAGTGGCAAGGTGGGAGTATTTGTCGTTTATCATCACAAAATGGAGTCTTAGTTTTACATCTGTAATGTTCATCAATGTGCATTGCTGTTGCATTGTTGTGTACAGACATTAAAATAATTTATTTGTTATTTTTTTTCCATGAAGAATCTCAGGAGAAAAATACTTGAAAGGGAGAAACATTTTAAAGGACTTTCATCCAGGCTTCAGCTTGAAAAAGTGAGTGACCAGTTCTGTTGGAATGAATGTTTTCTCCCAATGTACTAGATTCTTATTTACAAATTTTAAATTTTGAGAAAAACAATTATTACAAAGATCTATGAAAAAAAAGAAAATCCTGAAAGATGTTTCCTACAGAAATATCTTGAAACCATCAAGACTGTATCCAAACCTGTTAAGGGTACAGGTTATCCTTAGCACTAATGTCCCACGAGAAAAACAGTTATTACAAAGATCTATGAAAAAAAAAAGAAAATCCTGAAAGATGTTTCCTACAGAAATATCTTGAAACCATCGAGACTGTATCCAAACCTGTTAAGGGTACAGGTTATCCTTAGCACTAATGTCCCACGGTTCAGGGAGGGGCATACATCTAGACAAATGGCTTTTGGCTTCTCATTTACGAATTTGCAATAGTTCTGTAAAAAAATACTTACAATGAAGTAATACTGAGTAAACTAAACAGACACTGTTCACGGTTACTTTCCATGGCTCTTTGAACTCAATGAATAGAGAGAGGTAACACTGACAGCAGAGCTACCGCCATCAAAGGCTGACAAGACCTCATTCATTGTCTGAGCCAAAGGAGGGGGCTCAATGCAGAAACCAACGTAGGAAGAGAAAAATTATCTGTCTTGTATAAGAAGATACTACAAAAGTTTCAAACTTATCTTACTGGTAGTTTAGCAATCTGTGTTACAGTTAGCATATACCTAAAGCACACTTTATGGGTATGCAATGCAGCATGGTTCGGTGTTAGTGAGGGACAGAGTAGGCTCCATTAAGGGGACAATGTTGTACTTTGATTTTTGTAACTCCTTGTGATTTGCTGAGAGCCATAGTTCTTCTTTAAGAATTTTTCTTTGCTTAACCAAGAGAACATATCGCTTTTCTGCAGAATAAGCTTAGCCAGCAATGGTAATAGAGGAGCCTGTGGGGGTGCCCCCTTTCACACCTGGCAATTGGCATGTATTTGCCTGTATCTTGAAGTGAAGCAGCATGTTTTCATAGGAACATCCTTTGCTTGAGAGTAGAAATGCTGAAGAGAAAAGCCTGTACAGGTTCTGAAGACCACAATGCCAGCAATCCTCAGCATTGATGGGATCTGCACAGATTGCCATGCCCTGACAAGAGCTGTGTCTAATGTTGAACAATTCGGGGTGCCCAGCATCTGAAGGGACAAATGATTATCTGTGCTATCCCCTTGTTCCTTCTTACGTTATCTCCAATTAACGGCGTTTTCATCAATACCTGACTCAGTCTCCCTTTCTTACTGGTATGTATAAGGAACACTTGTACTGGTGCATTACAATGCTCTTCTGGTCTATACTGATAACATGACTCCTTTCTACCTGTTTTCTTTATTTCTTGTTTAGAATGATCCAAAGGAATCAAGTTGCAAGAAATTTTATAGAATCATCTGATCCCAGTTCTGGTGGCATAAGTTGCCTCTTTCCTTATCCTTCCTGTGCCCCCCCAAAATTAGAGTTTGAATTAAATGTATCAATACTTCTAATAGCAGGTGGTGATCTTTGGTATTTAATGAAGATCAGTTCAGGTCTAATTAATCAGGGCAGAGCTGATCAGTGTGGCTTTAATTTTTGTCAACCTGCTAGCTAGATGCGTTTTCTCAGCCTGGATTTCTGACTTTGTGCTTCCAGGTTTTGTTCATACTACTTAAAGAGTCAGATTAAATACGAGGCATCAATTATACATGCATTCTTTCAAGTTTGTGATTTCTGTTTAACATTAATGACATTAGTAACAAGTTACTGCTTGTGAATATACTTGTGGAGCATGTTTTATCTTTTCCAGCTTTTGAGGACATTCAAATGTCAAACTGTAAGGCAAAGTAGAAAGAATATAGATAGCTTCACATAGTATATCTCCAAAGACCAATAGATTTGTGTTTATTTGTCTTTCATAGGTCAATGTACGGAAAGAAGACCACCTGTCAAGATCAGTGAAGTCAGTAGAAGCTCACCTGCAATGTCAGATTCAAAGAAAAGAAGTGGAAAATGATGAATTAAAAGTGAAAATACAGGTCAACATATTTTTACTGAGGTTTCAGTTTATTTGAAAGAATTAGAAAAACCTTATTGTGGTCAGAGTTTAACCCAGATGTGAGAGTTAAGTCTTAAAGTATCACCTGAAATCCATCTCTTGGTAAAACAAAAATCCCAAACAGTAAAAATCATTAGCATTTATATTTTGCACAGTCTGCCTGACCACACTGTCTTAATTGCAAGGGTTTTTTTTCCTTCTTTTCTCAATTTGTGGATACTGGCAGTTCTGCTGAAGAGAAGCTAAGCACACATAGAAGCATTTGTAGTCATGTAACTGCTATCTAGAAGATGATTTTCTGTTGTAAGATAAGGGTGATGAATCACCACCTGTTTCTTTTCATTGTCTGTGAAGGAATCAATAGACCTCTTAATACTGACTGAAAGAGAAACACTTAAAACTAATGCCTAACCTCCCTTTTTTTAAAGCAGGTGAAGTGATTTCCATTTTCTGTGGTAAAAAGCAAGAAGTAAATTTAGGCATTTGCAGCAGTTACTGGCTTTAGAAAGTGGCAATGAAGAGGTCACTGTCAGAGGCTGAAGCTGTATGTGACCTCAGATTTTAATATTTGAAACTTGTCAAGAACATAGGCATGAGTAAGAAGTCATTGGCTGAAAAATAATGTATTTTTAATTTCTGAACTTTTTTAGTAGCATACATCCGCTACAAATTTTATAATTGGAGGTTGTTAAGGAACCTATAGCAGCTCAATTTTAAGAAGTCGTGTATGTCCATGTCTGTATAAATACCTCAAGTTTTCTTCTGAATAAAAATAGCTTTTTTTGTTCTACCTAGTACAATTATTAGAATTCCAACAACATTTTCATTAAGTGATACTTTGATAAAGTAACTTGATATGCAACTGTTTTTTAAAAAGTTTAAACTGTATTATTTAAAAGTTTTGTTCGTTCACTCTTCAAAAAGTGCTGAAGTCAGTTGCTAGCTTAAATAGTGGTGATGAATTTGTTAGTATCTGCACAAAAGCTTGCAACACGTTAGCATTACCCTTATGAAATTAATTCTCAGTTTAAATTTGCCTCAGCCACTGAATAATGTGCAAAGCATTTACTCTTAGTGTGATTGTGACCTCCTGCGGTTATAACAGGGGATGACAGTTGTTCACTTATGCTAACAGTTAAAGAAGTCTGTACATAGACTCAGATTTTCTATTTGCTCTGTTTATTGAAGGCCTCCTCCCATGGCTCCCCCAAGTCACATCTTTGTTTATTAAATGCACTATAAGCATCTTTATATGAAAACCACTTCCTGCATACTTAGGGTTTTTTATTATTTCATTTTTTGAAATAGTGTTTTCCTTTTTGGTGGATCCCAGACCGTATTTCACTTGGAAAACCACATACATTTTACATTGAGTATGGATAAGTTTTGGGGCCATTAGCAGGACCTATACTGACAGATATCTTCTATGCTATATGCATATTTTATATCAACTGGCAAATAGTATCTTGAATAACGCTGGCACATTAATGTAGTCAGCAGGTAAATGACACATCATTCTGCTCTTTATTCATGTAGAACATAAGTGTCAGACCTAGCCTCAAATGAAGGAAACAAATGCATTAATCATTCTTATGATTTGGATATTAATCAGTGACTTGAGAAATTTATTTACAGTGCTAGCCTACTTACACTGCTGTAGTCTGTCAGAAGAATAATAAGTGATATGAATGGAACTTGCATGTGTCTTCATGGAAGTAGTTGTCTATTGGTAGCTTGGTCATGTTTTTGATAAGCTGTAACACCTTAAAAATAATTGCATCCCAGATTCTCCTTGAAGCAGAGTGTGGTATGGCTTTTATTGTATTTCATAATGTAGTGTTTTAATAGTCTGGTCTTTTTTTCCATTAATATTTAAATAAAAACTGCTATGTTGATGAAAATTGCAAAAGTCATGAAGTTAGGTCAGCTTCCTGGGTTGGATGGGATCAGGCCACTGCTTTCATCAGGGTGATTTAAAAATCCAGTTAGTTGGAAATATTAACAGCAATAGAAAAGATAATCATAGAATCATAGATGCATAGAATGGTTTGGGTTGGAAAGGACCTTAAAGATCACTAAGTTCCAACCCCCCGGCCATGGGCAGGGACACCCTCTACTAGACCAGGTTGTTCAAAGCCTCATCCAGCCTGGCCTTGAACACCTCCAGGGATGGGGCATCCACAGCTTCCCTGGGCAATATAATGACAGTTGTAGAACCCACCTCTCATCTCAATTGCTTCGTAAACTTTTGATAATATAATTAAATGCATTATAAATACATTTAATTTAAATACATTTTTACATGTATTTAAATAAAAATACATTTAATGCAAATGTATTTTATTTCCTGAGTGCTGCAAGATCAAGCAGCAGG